TATCGTTAATTCTTACATGCGGTTCGACCTGACTTGCAATGGTTTCTTTTGTAAAACTGAATAGTCTACCTGCAGTGAAATTCTGTCTTGGAGCAAGTGCGGTTTCTGAAACTGGTATTGTTATTAAACATACAAACTTGACCATTGCTATGCCTTTTTGCTATTTCTGGAGGCTGTATTTGCCTCTAGTGGTCAGTCTACCTCTGAATTGGACTTGCTGGTAAGCTCTGCTATTAATCATTGAGAGCAGTTTAAAACAAAACAAGTAAGTGCTATGATTGTCACCGTTTACAGTTTCTTCGGGCATTTGCCGAGCGTATCCTCTCCTCAAGCTATTATGTAAACGGTGTTTCAATAGAAACTGTTCGAGGACTATAAATGCCGACTTGGGGCAGCTTCTAGTATATAAGTCAACGAATGCCTACTTTTAGATGGAAATCGCTTTCCACAACCATTCCTTCATTCAACAGATGTTGTGAGAATAATAGGGATCGTAGCCAACACACACTTATCGCGCTCATCTCGGTCGTGGCTGGAATTTGTCAGGTCGCATTGGAATGGTATCTAGTATGCTCTCCCTCATGGTCTATTACCGAAGTTAGTAGAAGTGTCTGTTGTTGGGCGGGAAACGTTTGCCCACTAACCCTCGGTACTACTAATTAAAATATCTCGCCCTCAATTGACTGGATTAAACAGTTGTCTGTCGGCTGGCAGTTGCACGAAGTTCGGATCTTCTTTACTTTTCTTAAAGCTTGGCTGTAAATGCATACATCTGGCCTCGACACGGCAACATCGTCTCTAATTAGCGCTGAAGGTTTCACTTGGTTTACTTGTATGAATAGTACAACGTGATCGCCGGTCGAGCCTCTACCCAACCATTGCATAAAAGTAGTCAGTGCACGTTGAGAAATGCTGGCTGATGACAAATGCATTCAGGGGCAAAGAATGGAAAACAGCAACTGTTACGCGTACACCGGTATTAGTTATACCATGCGATAACCTTTGTCCAAGTCGATTCAAAAAACGTTAGTTCTGAGGCGATGCGTGCTTTGTGTGGAATTTAGATTTGTTTGGCTCAATGGTCATTGCCTGCGGGAGTGCTCGGGAGTAGACTATCGTTCTGTGCGAGTTGTTGCGTGTACCACAGGGTGTGATTACATCGAATGCTTGCATGACAGTAAGGCTGCGACCAGAGATGGTGCTGCGGCGTGGATCAGGACGGGCTTGGGCACTAAGTAATGCTTGGAATCCGCGCCGAAGGCGGTCGCCACGCCTGGCGTTGGAGAAAAAATCGTGCAGATTCGGGTTTCAGGCTGTCGATTGAGGCTGCCTGGAGAAGGGAAGGCGAATTGTTCAGTAAGTTGGGGTCTAGAATCTAAAAGCGATTGAGAAATAGCCAAGCTAAAAGTAATCCTTTTATTTTTCAGTCGAATATACGGTAATCAGGGCTGTCTAAAAGTTACACGACGGTTTTTCGCAGTTCTAACAGCCCCGGTGTTCGGATGGTCTTAGGTCCAAGATGCGGCTTTAACCTGTCGCACCGCACTTCGTATCTTTCATTCTTGATTTATCAATGGATTCGGTTGGCTCATGCCTT